GGGGTTAAAGGGTTAAGTTGTAAATCGTATCTATCATATTTATATGTTTGTCACGCATTTGCCTCTTTGGATGTGCTTGACCACTTGATTAAACATCATTGTACTGGGTATCGGCAGTAAGTTGATTTTATGTATTGATTTTGCTCGGAAATTTGTAAAAAACATCCGTGCCAACTTTTCAGCCATCTGATGGATAGATGAAATCAGCCTTGAGCAGGTTACTCGCATTTTCCCGCGCTTCAGGTCTGTTTGCGCTTATTTTAGTTCAATTTCTCTTTTCCCCCTCGACAAATTTACCTTTGCTGTGGCCATTGCGTTTAGTGTGCTTTTGGTTTTACGACAGCTAGAGCGCTTAAATCAAACCAAAGTAATCACAACCGCTGATCAAAAGAAAGGAACATTCCTTTCAGAGCTAAAGACAACTCAAGGTAAAATCAACCCAACTGCCAAAAGCGCGGGAAATCGCGTACAACCAAGTCAGCGCGGGAAAACGCGGGCAATCAAGTCAGCGCGGGAAAACGCGGGCAACTAAGTCCGCGTGGGAAAACGCGGGCAATCAAGTCAGCGCGGGAAAACGCGGGCAATCAAGTCAGCGTAGGAAAACGCGGGCAATCAAGTCAGCGTAGGAAAACGCGGGCAACTAAGTCAGCGTGGGAAAACGCGGGCAATCAAGTCAGCGTAGGAAAACGCGGGCAACTAAGTCAGCGCGGGAAAACTCGGGCAACCAGTCAGGATTGCTTTTAGTTCTGTATGTGACTGGTTGAAAGAGTGGCGCGAGTTTTCTAGACCAATCGTAGAGCGGAGTAATGCAAAACCATTGCAATCTCGGATTATTTTCGACACAATTGAAAATTTCCCAAATCTAAAATGTTCTCAATCAACTTTAAAAGTTAACAGTTCATGAATGCGTTTTTTTCTAGAACCCAACAGCGAAGACTACCTGTTTGAGTTAAGATCATCTGAGCCATTCACCCTAACAGTTACTTTTGAACATCCTTGTACATCCAGCATGGCGTCAAGTAAGTCCACGAACTAAAACTCCCCTTAAATACATTTTCAGGCTAACACCCAAACCCTTTACACCCTAACATCTCTATTCGTATTCTCCATACTGTTTTCAGTACATTTCCCACGGTGCTGACGAGGAGAATTTGTTTAACAATCAAGAATCCTACTTACCGTGTTTCTTCACCTGTAAGCCGAGCGATTTTTACAGTATTTGACGCAAAAGTTTGGGAGATTTTTTCACGAGAAACGGGGTTCGGACTATAGCCGAGGGTTGGGATTAAAAAACAAGTACAATTGCAATGTTAATGCGAAATGACCTTAAATTCCGTGACTGCAGCGTGTTTTAAAATTGTCAAGACAAAACGTAATTCTGACCACCAATCAGATTTTTTGCTTCCCATGCATTGAAAGACGATCTCACTTAACTCGGCAAAACTCTTCACATTTCACATTACGGATGAAATATCTGGTCTCTCTGCTGAGAAAACCACTCCATCACTTTCTCGTCTAGTTCGGAATACTTGGGAGTGAAACGGCCCATATCTGCACGTTTTGCAGACATCTTAAGCTCGCCAGAAAGAATAGTCGCCTGGTCTCTTCTCCAGCGTCGCACCACGGACTCGCAAAGTCCATAAATCTTGGCTGTGACTAAAAGTAGAACGGGACATGGGGAATGGACTCGGGGACGTGGGAGTCGGAGACGTGGGATTCGGGGACGTGAGACGCGGGACGCGGGGACTC